ATCAAGAACGAAATCATTTATTTTGGCATTGAATTTAATGTATTTGGCTGATAAAACATGTATTTGCTCATTCATTTTGCGTGTGCGCTCATCATTTTTCATTGCCGTTAACTTGATGTTGTGCATTTCAGATTCAATGCAGTCAATTTGATTTTGTAATTGCTCAATTTCATCTGAATGTATGGCTTCTTGTGATTTTGGGGCTTGATCGTTATTCAAAATGTTTGACTCAACCACTTCAATTAGGTTTACTAACACAGATTCAATGTTAGCATTGGACTTCTCAATCTCATTTATATGTAATCTCATTGACTCCATTTCGGTTCCCTTATCCTCATCACACACAGAACCATTGACAACCTCATTGACACTTTTGATACAATTAATCGGTTTGTTGAATCCAATGGGTAATTTGAAATTAAAACTTGTTGCATTCAACGTGTATAATAGAGCTGCCGTTTCACTTTGTCGGTTTTTGAGTTTTTCGACCTCAGCTGAAATTGATGTGATGTTTTGTTCATATTCATTTCGTAATTTATTGATATCAGAGCATACATTTTTGATCACAGTTTCATAATATTGTTTTTGTGATTCAACAATTGATTTCAAACTTTGAATTTCATCATTGATGTTGTTGTCAGTTTGTTTTATTTTGCTTACGGATGAAATTAATGCTGGAATTTTTGACTTTGAAATGCGAGTTTTTGCCTGTGAAGATGTCACGGGCTCAGATTGATTTAATGGAATTTTTCGCGATCTTAATTCAATCATATTTTGGTTGATTTTTGTATTTGTATTGTTCAATTTTTTTTTTATATAATAAAAATCGGAATTCACATCAATGTATATTTTGAGTCTATTATGACAAAAATCAAGTGGTCATTGCTTAGCATGAACGGAGCAAACGAAAAACACGTCTATTTACAATGAGCTCAGAGCAAAAACTGTGTAGGTTTTTTTTATTTTTTTTGTCCTAAAGAAATTCTTTAGATTTTAATTTTTTTTTTTTAGATATAATATATCTGGATTTTGTATTTTTTTAATTTTTATAAATTCATAAAATGTTTTAAATTTTAATCTTTTTCTTTTTGATTGAAAGAAAATAAATAGAAAATGAAAATAACCATGGCTAAATTTAAACCATTGGGTTAACTGCGTGGGATGCATTGTGATGGGTGCGGTGTTTCTACTAGTGTAGAATTTGTGCCGAACATTGTCCAAAAGTTAGTTAAAAGTAACTTTCTGTTTCTAATTGGAACATTATTGTGTTGATTAATGTTCAAATGTCGGTATGATGACCATGCTGGTACTTTTCGTACTCCGTCATTAATTTTTGTGGGTGTGGTCTCGTCATGGATTGTAAAACATAAGCTATTACATCCGAATTGTGTGTGTGCTAGGTTATCAGTTGAATGATATCCTGGTAGGCTTCTGGTTAAAGCTTCGTCTGTGGCTGGACCAAAGTCGGGTATGCGGTCAATTGCTCTATTGAGATAGTCAATTCTTACAGATGGGTACAAGGGTGAATGTTCTGTTCTTTGAACTATGTCAAAGTGGTGTACTGTGTCGATTTTAATTGGTCGTATTTGACTTAAAGGGATCGCTGATTCAAGATAGTAGCTATTTTCAACTGCTATGGGATTTCGAGGATTCGGTTGAGGAATACTGACTGAGTCAATTTCGTCAATTTCGATTAATTTTCCTGAAATTAAGTTATAATATATAACTTGTGATGAAGTTTCATATGGACATAAATGTCTAATGTCACTTACAAGATGCGTTGAAATATCAAATTCTTGATATTGGATTGGGTCGTTTTCGCGTGAATATGGTTCTTCGTGTGCGAGGTAGAGATGTTTGTGCATGGATGCACTTTCTTCTGGTATTGCTATTGTAACGTTGGCATTAATAATTGGTGGTTTTATAAAATGCATGCCATTAGCAAAAGTTTGTGGGTCTACTCGTTTACTAGTTGTACTAGCTGTTGCAGGTTGTCTGCTGTATGTTGGCAATGTCACTGGTTGATAGTAGTGATTAATTATTTGTCTGCCAGTTGCAGAGTGTTCGATTTGTCCTAGTGGTAAACATCCGTCAAAGTGTTCTGAAATACTTTTTCCGATATCGTTTAAGATACCTTGGGTGGTGAATAGGTTAACGTCATCTAAATTCAATAAATGAATATAAGGATTAACATTATCTAAGTTATTTCCTACATTTTGTGGAAAGGTTTCCATTTGTCTAAATGTTGGTCGGACTGTATTGCTTCTCATTGTAACAGGGTTGAATAAAGCTGTATTAATCTGGCAAAACCAGTTGTAATACTCGAGATTCTCAATTCGTGTTCCTAAAAAGTTTGAAACTGTTAAGATCACTGGGTGTTGAACGAGAGTTGTGTTCATCCATTCTTCTGTGAGTGCTGTTGGTGTGAGGTTCGCTGGACGCGAGGCAATAATATTGTGGGCGGTAAAATATAGATTAATTGGAGGTGTTCTTCCATCATATTCTATGTCGTAACATGCGAGAGAGTTAACAAAAAGAATGTTAGGTTTTCTTTCGTCAAATCCTGCGAATAGTGATGTGAATAGTGGCATCATAAATTTTGGAACTGGTAATCTTCTAAGATCTGTTAAAATCCTATCTAAGTTACGTCGTGTCGTAAATTCATGTGCGTACGTTGACTTCATCGTTCGAACATTTTCATCGTCATTGAGTAATGCGTATGCATATACTAATGCGAGTAAATATCCAGTTAGTGATGGCGGTGTCAGAGCTGGGTATCCTTTGACAATAATCTCGGGATATTCTCTTGTAACGTGGTAGTTTATATACAGGATTATATTTCTATAATCGGGTTGAACGTCAATGATCGCTGTTGGACCATTATTACGGGAAGTATTCTTTTCTACAGCTACGCGCTGTGGATAGGTATTTTGGTACTCTGGTACTTCACCTATTATTTTGTTCATATCATCTACAGATATGTTTTTAAATCTGTTTGCAATGGATTCCATTGCTTTGGTGATGTGTATATGATAACCGTTTTCGGCCATTTTGGTTTCTTTTGAATTAAATTTTACTGGAGTGTCTTGAAAAAGACAGTTTTATAAATATTCGTGGTGTGATTCGATGTAGTAATCGTTTAAAATCGCAAATGTCGCTTGTGGTAAATCGCTTGGGTTGGGAAATTCTGTCTATTAGAAATTTCCAATAATAATCTAATTTCGCGTGACCAATAAAAGCAAACCTAAAAACAAATCCCGCTCAAATAATATAATAAAAAACCTTGTTATTTTTAGTTTTTTATCAACCACCATGTATAAATGCATATGAAATGTCAAATGTTAACAAAATGTACAATGTTAGCATAGTACATATCACGTGTATGTCTGTGTTAAAGTGATGCATATTTTAACAAGTCACCAGATGACACTTTTCACTTTTAAATATGCGCTAATAATAGTTGGATTTTATTATGTACTTAAAATAGATGATAACAATAATTAACAAGCAGTTGCATGTCAACATTAAAAATTTACCCTCACGAGTAAAAAAACATGAATTCCTTGCACCTTTTTCATTCAAAGATTCTTTTTCTTCAACGAGGGGACATTTTTCTATATAATAAGATATATTTTCGATTTTATGTAGAAACATCAAATGAATTATTTGTTTACACTGTAGCACTGTATCTTTATTTCGTGAAAATAATATTGATTTATAAATATTGAAGTCAAGAGGTTAAAGACCATATTATCTTGCTATTTTATTAAAATTGTCATGACATAATGACAATTTAACAAGCTCTGTCGATAGTATGCGCTGTTCATATTCGATGATTTCTGAATATAAGATTTAAGAATTTTATTTTTATTTTTCTAACTAGTCGAACTATTTAATGATTGATTTGGTGACACTGCTGGAGTAACGGGTGCTGAGCTGCTCATTGGCATTTGACATTGACGGCAATCAATTGATCTATTTGTTGAAATGGGTGTCGATGGCAACGATGCCGATTTTGACGATTGAACTGAGTCATTGGTAACATAAATATGACGACTGGTACTGCGAGATGCTTTGATACATTCACCATTGCATCCAGATTTACTGGATGACATCGTACATTTGGAACAATGCGAACGTTGCTGATGCGATTGAGCACTGCCAGCACTTGTACTGCTTATTCGCTTTGACGTCGATGACGACTGTAAACATTGAAACAAAATATCAATTAGTATTACTTATTTATGAGCCATGAAATGAATGACTATCGAAATACTTACATATTTGCGAGAGTGATGAGCGGGTTCAAAGCTGATTCGAGCACCACGGCTATAATGAGGTGTTGCGCTTAGCAAATCATTAAGGATATGAATAGCGGTTGAAATATCGCGTTTTGGTCGACCGTAACGATCCTGCAAAGCAGGGTTGAGGGTGCCCGAAAATGTGCCAGAGTAAATGCCTCGTCCATGATTTCGCATCGATTCAATGACAGCACCTGAACCAAAACCAGCTACAGCGCCACTCTGATGAGATCCGCTACTCGAATTGGTTGGTGTATTATTTGAACGTGTACGTTTTTCATCATTTATAGCTATGGCCGATGCATCACCTTTACTACTGAACACTTCTTTTGATAATTTCCGAACAGTTTTGGCCAGATTGCGTGATGCTTCAGCCAGTGTATCGGACACCGTATCGAGGCTATTGCCAGCAGTGGTGTCAATTATATTTATGGGCTGATCAACTGAGAGCTCACTTTGCAACGATTTTGCCGTGACCATTTTGGCAATTCCTTGTTCAGCATGTGAAATGCTCTCCGAACTTTTCGAACAACGCAAATTTGATGCATCGGCTGCTGCCTGAGCAGAACTTTGAATGGCTTGAGATCCGCTTGACTTTACTTTTGCAATTGGATTGTTCAGAGTTTTATGGAGTAGCGCTGAGGATCGTGTGGCGGTGGTAGTGGTGGTGGTGGTGGTTTTCAGTTCGGTGTGATTTATGTACTTTTTATGCTGTATCTGATGACGGGTTCGCGAATATTGACAATTTATATCACAGCCAGATGAAGAGCTGCTACTGCTCTCAACTGATTTACATGGGCATGAGGTAAGGTTATTGCTGGTGGTCGGTGTATTCATCGGAATGTTTTGCAACAAAGATGTTTTTATCGGTCCAGAAACTAAGTTTGACAGTGACTTGATTGGTGACTGTTCCAAAAACGAATCAACTTCGTTACTAACCATACTGGCATCTACGTCGGCGTCATTGATTGTTTTAGTTTCAGTTTTCTCTTTGCTAAGTGAACTAACGATTGTGTGTAGTTCTTTGAATTCATTTTTCGACTCAATCAAATCAGAGGCGCGACTGGTAGACGCTTGGGGTGATAACACAACTTCATGGCGATTTCGATATTTTTCGGGTATTTGATCTGATGATGGGGATTTGTACATATGATTGGCATTTGTGAATCTAATGGGAGTTGAATTTGTACTGGACGATTGTTGGGCCAATGACGACGATGATGACGGACGTGCCGATGATGAAGTCTTCAACCGAAATATGCTACGTTTTCGAGATGAATTAACTGATCCAGTCGAACCAGTTGAGGTAGATGCATTCGAATTTGTTGGATTTACAGTGCTCAATTGTAATTGAATCTGCATCATGTGATCACCTACACGTATACTCAAATTCAATGGCGTTTTCCCGCTAAGAAATTCGTTCTCTTGTGAATCGTTCAACGATTCCAAAGCTTGCATCACCGTATTCTCTGGACGTTGCGCCTATTAAAGTGGAAAAACAAACAACACTTCATTAGAATATATGTATATTTTGTACTAAATATAAATTATGTTTTATGAAATAAATCAATCAATCTAAAAATAAAGTTACACCAAGAATTCAATTTGATCTAGTTTACAAATCAAACAGTTGTGCGCACTAAGTGAGTTATTTCAGATTGAAATCCCAAGTAATTAGAGTAAATATTTTGCGGCCAGCCTAGCCAACTCGTAATCAAGCAATAAAACATTTTATACGAACATAAAAAAAAATGTCTCGGGTAATAAATTGTCACACAAAGTTCCTTTTCTGAATGTTCCAAAGAAAAAAAATTATTTATCGAGTTATTAAAAAAGTGACTTGATTTCAAATGCACACTTTGCATTAATAATAATTAACATCCGAACGTGCGTCGCCATTTCAAATACAAGCAATTTCTTTTTTATCTGTACGCTCCTTCGATTTTAGTTTGGTTACGTGGCTTATTTCATTGAAAGGTATTTTGATGCTTAACCAAAGCAAATAACAAACAGTCACAGCAACCCACTGATTTAATTGCAAAAAAAGACAAAATAGAATACAAATATCAGAGAATTAAAATAACATATATATATATATATTAGGGCGGGTCAATTTGTATGGAAGAATTTTTGGAAGGTCTGGCTTAACGAAATTCGTAAAATACATGTAATTTCAAGACTTTTTCTCCACTAGAGCATATATAAATTTTTTTTTTTTTTATCAAATAGTTTTTTTCCCAAATTATAAAATATGAAAATATAAAATTTGAAAGTGATGAAAAAATTGTATAAAAAAGATCATTTGTACTGACATTTCTAAGGTAATTTTGGACGCTGAATCCGAATCTGGCATTAAAAATACTCTAAATTCAACTATCAATAAAAAAAAACGTGATTTTTGACCAAAAAATCAAAGAAATGTAGCGAAATGTTCGTTCTTGCAATTGTTAGCTCATTTTCAAGGCTTGATTCGGATTCTGCGGCTCCAAAAACCCTTGAAATGACTATTCAAACCATAATGAATGATAAATTATTTTTAAAAAAATGCCATTTATTCCAGCATTTTGTGACTTTTGAAGCGAAAAAAGCGTGATGAATGAAGAAGATGTTTCTAAAATCATATGTACCATCATTTCTAGGGTAATTTTTGGCGCTGAATTCAAATCTGCCATTTAAACTACTCTATTTTTATAAAATCAGCGCCCTAAAAATTAAATTTGAATGAACAACTAAACAAGACTTTCATAGACGAAACATTTGATGTTCTTTGCATCAGTGTAGTCCAAATTCAAACATTTAAACGAGACTTGAAATAATTTTTAATATTCTATATTGTTTCAGTTTTCATTCAAATTTCATCAATTCTAATTTTTCAATCAAAATGAATTGATTAAAATTATTAAAATTGAGTTTAAAAGTTTGAATTTGGACTACACTGATGCAAACCCATATAATTCATTTGCGGAGTAATTTTGACGATGGTGGGACTGTGCGGAGTTTGACGGAGATGACATGCAAACTCTGTGTGTACGAGGGTAACAGCACTTCTATGTGTATCATTCTTACACAGATGATTAGTAACTTAGCTGTGTATACGGCTACTAAGATGTTCGTTTGGACAAAATAAGTCTATGAACAGCAAAGAATGCTGTTGCACTCGTACACACAGCATTTGCATGCTGTCCCCGCCGAACTCCGCACAGTCCCGCCATCGAAAAAATTACTCCGCAAATGAGTTATATGGGAATAAACCTAGGGGCTTGCATGTATTTTTATTGGATGATATTTGCGTATTATCGTTGCGTATCGGTGAAATATTGGCATATCGGTGAAAGATCGGCATATTTGTAAAATATCGTTAATATTCGGGTATTTTTTGATAATTAATTGTTCTGGAAGTGGGTTTTGGTGGATCCTCTGGATCGACCAGACCATGGTTTGACAATGCCCTGACCCATCCTGAGGGTCCACTTCCAGACCTGGGAGCGGTTCTGAACGATCCTTAGGATCCACCAAAGCCCACTTCCAGAACAAAGACACTTCGCATATCGGCGAATATCGGTGGATTTTTGGCACAAAATAGTGAAATCGGTAAAGATTTGCATGATTTGTAAAAATTTGTATTATTTGTTATACTGTTGTTTATTCGTCGAATTCGTGAAAGAAAATCTTATATGAAAACCCCTAGGAATAAACATCAAATGTTTCGTATATGAAAGTCTTGTTTAGTTGTTCATTCAAATTTAATTTTTAGGGCGCTGATTTTATGAAAATAGAGTAATTTAAATGGCAGATTTGAATTCAGCGCCAAAAATTACCCTAGAAATGATGGTACATATGATTCCAGAAACATCTTCTTCATTCATCACGCTTTTTTCGCTTCAAAAGTCACAAAATGCAGGAAAAAATGCCATTTTTAAAAAATAATTTATCATTCATTATGGTTTGAATAGTCATTTCAAGGGTTTTTGGGGCCGCTGAATCCGAATCAAGCCTTGAAAATGAGCTAACAATTGCAAGAACGAACATTTCGCTACATTTCTTTGATTTTTTGGTCAAAAATCACGTTTTTTTTTATTTATAGTTGAATTTAGAGTATTTTTAATGCCAGATTCGGATTCAGCGTCCAAAATTACCTTAGAAATGTCAGTACAAATGATCATTTTTATACAATTTTTTTATCACTTTCAAATTTCATATATTCATATTTTATAATTTGGGAAAAAAACTATTTGTCAATTTTGGCACAGCTAAAATAAAAAATTTATATATGCTCTAGTGGAGAAAAAGTCTTGAAATTACATGTATTTTACGAATTTCGTTAAGCCAGACCTCTTAAAAAATTGACCCGCCCTAATATATATATATATATAACAGGCAGGCTGATAAAAAAGAAAAGAAAAAATCAAAATCCACTTGTAAATCGAATCAGTTTTTGATTAATAAATCCATCAGAGAACCCAAAACTGAACACTTGGTGGTATATATATATTCCCAATGGGGAAAATGTAACGATATTTCTATAGATGAGTGTGTACATTTTTGTAACGGCAATTTATATGGGAAAGTGTGTACGTAATGTGTCCGATTATATGTACTTAGTACAAAGTACGAAATGTACATGTGAATGGAAACATTTTGTGCACATTTGTCATGTTATTTTTTAGCACATAAAATGCACGAAAATAACCAATTTTTATATACATATTTCCCCATTGTTTGGATCCTCTACTACCATTTTGAAGCTATACAGAAATTCTCTTTTGAATGGTATTTGGTCGTACATGCAGAGGAAACGAACACCTCAAATTACCTCGAAAATATGGCTTTTCGAAGAGATGCTTGAAAAAATCTGAGAAATTGCTATAAAAGATGGCTGTTTTTAAGCGCATACTAAGGAATGGATCTCAAACATCTTGTAGAATAGTTATTTCGATACTGTACTCCAATATTTGTGTAAACAAAATTCACTCAACGAAACAGTGCCGCGTTTTCTCACATTGATAACAAATGAAATCAAGTGGTAACTTTAAAGGGATTCAAAGAGGAATTTAAGCATTATACAAGTAAATATTTTTACTGAATGATAACTATTAATGTCTTACAAAACCCATGCAATGCATTTTGAGGAAATTCAAAGTCCAGTGGTTACCAAAAATCGACAAAACCTCAAAAAGTCACAAAATTTGAGTTTTTGGCGTAAGCTCGTATTCCTTGCCACGATTTCCTACTGCGTTGTTCAAAATAACGATTTATCATCTTGGATGAGATAAAACAATGCCGAAAGAATAACACATGTCATTTTTGACGTTTTTGGACAAAAATAATATGGTGTTTTCTGAGAAAATGTATGCTTTCTGATTTTCAATGAAAAGCCATCTCGATAAGCCATACAATTGATGTCAGTATTTGATGACTGTGAATACGAATCGCTTTCTTATTTATGGTGTAGCTTGGTGGAACATATACCTGCCTCCTTGGTGGAAAAACACTTTTAAAATAATGACTACTCTTTTGGAAAAAGCCTTGAAACGGAGAATTAAGGTATATTTTGAGGTTATGTGCCTTAAAGTGCCGTAACATCTGACTCGGTGAACGGATTTGGCTCGAATTTCGCCAGTAGTCCTTTGTAGGATGGCTCTTTCAAAACTAGAAAGGATTTTGATCTAGTGGCGCCATCTATATGTTAGTCCCGGGACTTATCAGCCTGCCTGTTATATGTGTGTGTGTTTTTTTTGTTCCGGAACCGAGATGCCTTTGTCGCCGTCCATAGGTGAAACATGAGTGATAAATTTCTATTCACATTGTCTGCTTTAGAGCGATCATTTGAATAATTTTGCGCTTGTTTCGATTTTATTTTATTTGAAATATTAAGCTGTGAGGCACATTTCACATTCACAAATGAAACGTGTATTTGCACGGGAATCAACAATTTAACGATGACGACGATATTCAAGGGCATTGTGTGAGAGAGTCTTATACGCGCAATATAACACACTCATTTAATTTGCTTTGATATTTTGTGAGCGGAATGATTAGTGCTTACATTCAAATATTCACACCAACATTCGATACTTGCGCCCGTGTGCACAACGATCAAATATTTACAAATGACGATGGATGACGACAGGTTGATTTTTCAGTCAAAATACAATTAAAAAAGTGAAATTGCTTTTTCATCTGATTTGGTTCGTATGCGTCGGTTGCGTTTGCGGCTATGCTTGGCATATCTATGCTAGCTAGCGTATTTTGGCAAGCATAGAAATATGCGCGAACCGGTCACTGTTTGCATTACAAAAGCAATTCAGTTGGCGGATTAACCTTCACATGTTGAATGCAAGCAACGCAAATTAAATCAAAACATAGTATCGCGTTTCAATTTCGGAATGGAATAAAAGTCAGATCATGTCCAAGAAATTCAGCAGACCAGTCGGACTCTAACTGTTTAATGTTTTGACTCATTTGAAAAACACGATCAAGATCATGTCAAGAGAAAAAACAACAACAACAGGTATATAGTGTTCGAAAAGCAATCTCGCAAAACTATTTTTCTTTCATTTTGAGAGTATTTCATTTTGATATATGCGAGGTCTTGATTCTGTCATTAGTTCAAGTCGAATCTTGGCGTACTATTCTTGAAATTCATAAAAAAAGTCCAAATCAAGATAAGATTAATAACAATGAAAAACATATTTACCAAAAGCCCCGTCTCAACATTTGACAGCAGAATTATTTTGCTTCCATCCATAATCCCATTCTCTTTTATCGATGTACCGTCGTGAAGTTCTCTGCAAAGAAAAAAAAGAGAATAATGAATCATTTGAAACTTGTTTAACTAAAAGAAAACTATTAACATCCATGCGTAACAAACGAAATTCGCTGTTGAAAATTGGTATACAACGAACATTTTGGAAAGTGTGTGATTTTCAAACGACATTCCCTTTACATTGTTTTATAACAAAGATCGTACTACTTTTTATTATCATTCTATAGAACTCAGTTAACTGCGTCAGCATAACTTGAATGAAAAGGCTTTGGCGATCACCATAATCTTTTCTTTTTTTCTTCAAATTCATTGAAATGGAATTGCGCAACAAAGAGAAAAAAACCGAAATGAAGTAGTCTGTGTATGCTGTAAATAAATTTGATGCTAAAAGGCTCGTGATATAAAAAGTAATAGGCAACCATAGAAATGAAACTGAGGGACTTTCCATACGTTGAGCCAAGTGAATCCTGTGCAAATGTTCACGATTTTAGATGTTATATATTCGTTGCGATTACATACAACGCAACAGATTCAACAACAAGAAGGGGAACACACGGTCGCTGTGTTCAGAAGAAAGTATGTTAGATAATAACATTCGTCTAACAAAGCAAGTATTGGAAAACATGAATAAAGCATTCTAACACCACAAACAGCAAGTGTAGGAACATTTCTCTCTTCATTCGTACTTCCCATCCGCTATACTGACGACTAATTGAATTGATTGACTAAGAACTTGAATATTGCATAAGAACTTTGGCTAATTATTCGTTTATGTGGAAATTTTGTTTAACAATAGCAAAACTTTCATGTTATGCAATTTTAACCATCTGTTCATCCATCAACTGATACAATTTGTATTAATTCATACAAATCGGAGCAAATTCAGTGGCAATTTCACGGGATGCAAAACTCATGGTGTGGCCATATATATATGTGTCAGATATATCTGACCGCCAGGTGGCTGTTTGTAGCTAAGGGGACAGATATGCCTAAGTCGTACCCGGTGTTTTGTTGCAAATATTCAGACATTTTCTAATTTCCTGCGTAAAATTATAACCAGATTGATATATACGTTTTGATTTGAAAATGAAAATCGATTCTGGTTCATGCCACATTTATTGATTTATTGGCA